TATTTTATTTTCAACATTTTTATTATTTTGTTACATCTTTAAAAAGACAAGAGAAAAAACCTCATCGAACTTTTGTCTTTATGAATATTAATGAACCATATCATAGCGTCTGAATAAACGAGATTCTATTTGACCCCAACCAACTCTTTTAAAGTAATAAAATTATAAACAAAAAAATGAAAAAAATAGCTACAAATTGATGAGATTCAAAAAGATGAATGAATGAATGAATTAAGGAATTTTATTTTTCTCACCGCACTTTTACTTTCATTATAATAATCAAATTATTAAACAAAGCGACAAAATAAGCGGCAACGTAAAGGTGTAGAAAAAAAAAAAAAGAAGAAAAAATAATAAAAGATCGTCAATTTTGAAGGCCTCTCAAATTTTGTATTGTTGTTGTTTTGTAAGTAATTTGAACGAAAAAATAAGAAAAAATGGGAAATAATAATCAACATAAAAAAGTACAGTAGTTACTGTCAACTCTATGGTGCATTAAGCTTTGTCTTACTATATTAAATTCCAAATCTCAAGAGATCGAAGTAGTCGAAACTGATAATTGAATAAAAAATTAAAATTGTCGAAACTGAAGATGCTTATTATTTCGAATTTTATGAAAATGAATTACAGGAAATTCGAATTTTAGCCGACTAATGTGAAATTTATGGAAAATTTCGATTATGCTGAGGAAATTTATGATTTGTGATTATTATTCCATTAAAAAATTTTTTAACATCATTATTTGTATTTGAAAAATTCGTCGAAACAACAAATAGTCATCAATTTAGTGAGCTCAACCACATCCAAAAAGAAAAATTCCATAGCACAATTTATAGAAAATAAAAAAAAAGAAAATGTGTTTATGCTTACTGAAGCTACTATTGACGCTAAACAACGTTGAAATTACAGATTTTCTTTGATACTATAGAATTGTACAACCCAAAATAAGGCGAAAAAATGAAATACATCAACGTGCCTACTATAGAAAGGGCTAAAACCCAAGATTTTTCGATATTGAAACAAAACCTGCTACTCTTACGATATAATACACTAAGATATATGTTTTACAAACCGGATGTGACAATCATTAAGCAAATAACAATTTAAGATCCAAAAATATATTTTGTTAAAAAATTATATTTCAAATGGAATATAAAGTTTATAATACGTCATCTTATTTGTAAACATAATGTCTACATGAATAATAACATAATATACCAACATCTTTAAAAGAAAACATGAATTATAATAGGAAATGACGTAAGGAAAAAGTAAATGGAGTTTTTTTTTCTTTTCAACAAAATCCCATACATTAGAACAGAGGGAAAATTATCTAATAATTTGATTAAGATCATAATTGTAAGGTACAAAAATAAACAATCATACAATTTCTGCAAATTATAAAATTTATAATTTCACACATATACATACATATACATACGAGTAAATACATAAAAACACAAATTCACCTGAAATATAAAAATAACCAGCATTTTTATACTCAAATTTATCAATAATTACAAAATCGAATTCAAAAATCGATATGAATGAAAAAAAAATCGATTGTATGAAGAATCTTACTTAATAAAATAAAAAATTAACGACAAAGTGCAGGTGATAAATTTTTAATAAATTTGTTGTATCTATAGAAGAAGAAAAGAAAACAAAAACTCCAATTTTATAATTGAAATTTTGCCAATAATTAAATGTGTCTGGACCAATAACGTAAGAATAAATTTATTTTGATTAATTTCAGTTTTTCACCAAAAAAATGCTACAAAATTTGATGTAATTTAATTTCCAAAATTTGATAAGGTCTAACTTAAATCTATTTTAACCGGAAGCAACTCAAAAATTAAAGAAAACAAAATTAAAAGTAACTAAGAATTTTCCTAAAATAATATTAAACAAAAGTAATCCTTAATAGAAGAATCTTTAATCTTAGAGAATTCGGATGGATCGAAACGAAACTACTAAAAGCCAAATTAACATTTTTCTATAGGCATTTTAGCTAAAAGCTTACAAACATCCTTGAAATTGTAAAGAAGTTTTGAAAATGCGTTTTCATAATTTTCTGCAAGATTTTTGCTAAACTAGACTATACACATTGTGTTCGGTCGGAGACTATACACATGTACTGATTACATCAGACTTTTTTTTTGAAATTTCGTGACATTTTTTTCTAAATTTTAATTTAGTCTTAAATAATCTTCTAAATTAAAATTTTCTATTCTTAAATAATCTAAAGAAAACTCATTCAAAAATTGCATATTAAAATCACAAATCATAAGTAAAAAGGCATGAAAAAACTCGCAACAAGCTCTTATAGACAAAAATTTTAAATTTGGAAAATACAATTGCTCTACGGTTGTAAAAAACATTTAAGATTAACTATTGTAGTGAAAATCCCGTTTTCTTAAACTCAAAATTAATCTTTGAACAACAAAAAATAAAAAACATAAAATAATTATTCAATTGTAGATATTATCAAAAAATCATTCCCCTAAAAATATGCAATAATAGAAACTTAAAATAATTTCATTGTTTTAATTAATTTTCATACAAATTAAAATTTAATTAATTAAAAATAAAAACAAATGAAATTAAATTAAAAAATTTTAATTAAAAAAATAAGAATTCAAAATTATTTTTTTTATTTTGACTTTATTTTTTTGTATTTTAATTTTAATAATAAAAATATTTTTTTTTTACAATCTAAAATTATTTTCTTATATAAATTATTCACAATATTTATTTTTATTATCATTATTATTATTATATAAGTATATATATATATATATATATTATAAAACATAATATTTTTTTTTGTTTGAATAGTTTAAATTACAAAAAAAAAAAATAATAAATTATAATTATAATAATAAAAAACAATATTTCTTTTACATTTAAATTAAAAACAAAAAAAAAAATAAACTTTCTCGTTTTCCTTTAAAAATATTTTTGATAATAAAAATTTTATTTGTTCATCTTTTCCAATACAACAATAAAATTTATAAAAAAAAAAAAAAATAATAATAAAGAAATTAAAATTAATACGAAAAAAAAATTAACGATGCTAATTTAAGAAAAAATTCATTTATAATTATTGCTGTATCCTATTGCTGTCAGTACTTATTTTATTGCAAAATTTCTGCATTTTAAATTTAATTGTTCAAATCCATAAAACATTGAACTCAAATTTGTTTTCTTTAAAAATTTTTGAATATTACTTTTAAAACTTGTTAATTCTAGCATTTAATACCAATTTAATTTCAATATTAATAAGTATTAATTGTATAAAATTAATTATTTATTAATTCATACTTAATTTAAATAAAATTAATAGTTGTAATGAATTCGGTGGCATATAACTCAAAATTTCCGAACATATTAAATAAAATATTTTAATGAATTAAAAATATAATCTCGCCATTTTGAAAAATTATTTATTTTGATAAACCAATTGCATGAATTTTAACAATCTATTGCTTCCAGTAATGGCAAATGATAATAAGGTAGTTGATAACTGATAAAAAGAACATATTTTGTTTAGGTTTTATAACATTTTCATATTTGATTTTAAATTGATGATAGATTTTAATAAATATAAAATGAATTGAATTAAAATTTGGGATTTTAACAAAAGAACAATTAATAAATTACTTCAAATTATTATTAAATTTAATAAAATGTTCAATTATTTTTGAGAGTTAAAGTATGTGTCGGCGTTTCTATTACAAAAAATCAATAATTTAATTTAAATTTTTTCAAAATTTATACATTTACTAAAATATTCATTGCAAAATATGTATGTAATAATTCAAAAAATTTTTCAAATCTCAAAATATTTTAATTTTTAAAAATTAATGAATTTGAATTTTTTGAATTTTGAAATTAATGAAATTAAATAACAAATATAAAATGGAACACAAAATTTTTAAATATAATCATTGTAACATACATTGTGATATAACATTATGATATACATATCTATAGTGATATACAGAAGATACTTTTTGTAATTACAAAACATACTACTTATTTTTAAGGGGCGCTACTCTGCATCAAGTTTCTTAATTTAAAATAGCGCCACTCGAAAAGTAGTATTTCTATTTTGTAATTACAAAAATTGTCTTTTGTATATCACTGTATACTATATACATAATAATATAATGCAAGTATATTATTAATTTTTATTTAAAATAAATAATATTTTTGTTATACAGCAATAAGTAAACGAATTTTATTTTAATTATAAATTTTTACGAAAACAAATAATGAGAAAATATTTATTTAGTCATTATATTTAAATTTTTCAAATGAAATACATAAAATTAAATTTAAAATAAATAAATAAATTTAATAAATAAATTAAAATCAAAATTTAAAAAAAAATATTTTTTATAATGTCTTCATTTTTACATTTTTGAAGAACAAAACAACCTAAAACACTATCAGCCGCGAATTTTTTTTTTTCTTCATTTTGTTTTTTTCATCATAAAATATTTCTCTTACATTTACAAAAAAAAAAATCATAAATTTCTCTTAAAATTTCACTTATTTACTTAAAATATACAAGTTTTCTTTTAATTTTTTTTTTTATATAATTCAAATAAATATTTTTTTTTTATAATATTTATTTTATATACAGTATAAATTTTATTGTCACTCTATATTTTGTGTTTTATATTTTGTGTTTTAATAAGGATTAAAATAATTTTAATATAATTTGATTTGTATTTAAAATTTTTAATTTATATAACAGTATGTATAACAGTATAAATTATATAATTTTATATATTGTATATAATTTAATGAATACTGACTAAAATTTATAACAATTAATCATTTTCAATTTATTTTTCAATTATTTTAATCTTCTAAATTAGTTTATTATATAAATTTTTGTTAATTTTAAAATTAATATATAAAATAATTGAATAAAAATATTTAAGAATTTTTAATTTTTGTTATAAATTTTTTCTTTGGTTGTTTATTTATTTTGTTTTTTTTTATATATATATATAAAATATATTGTAGAATTTAATCCAATGTTGCATTTGGATTTGTATAAGAGAATCCTTGAAATTGTGCTTGATCCATTGAATGTAAAATCTCTTTATCAATTGGTGTTAAACGTACTCTTTCGCGTGTAAATGTTTTATCAAAATATTTTGTATCCAATGGATGTTTCTAAAAATATTTAATTTAATTTTAAAATTTAAATAAAATAAAATTTTTATTTATATTAAATATAATAAATTGTAATGTCAAAATACTTACAACTTGCGGTTTAAATGGTGGTTCAATTTGACGTTTCTCTAATAATTCCCAATCAATTGGAGCAAAAAATGGATGGACTAATATATCACCTTGTGGACTATATTGAGATCCTATTCTTTTTGTTGAATCTTTTTCTAATAACTGATATAATTTATAAAAATAAAAAATTATTTAAATTTCAATAAAAAAACAAAAAAAAATTAAATATAATATTAATTACCGCTTTTAATAAATTGGTCGCTTCTTGTGATAAACACATCGGATACATTGGAATTTCATTACAAATTGACCAAAATAAATATTCTTCATCACAACCGCTAAATGGTGATTGACCAATTAACATTTCATATAATAATACACCAAATGACCACCAATCTACATTTTGATTATAATTATCACCCTTTTGAAAGAACAAAAAACAAAATTTAATATTAATTAAAATTAAAAACATTTCTGGAAAAGGCTTATTTAATAATTTCTTATAATTTTATAACTATATAGAATAAATAAAAAAAAATATTGTATTGCGATCAATTGTCAAATTATCGATCTTGATTTCTAACAATTGCGAACACTAATTTGCAATCAAAAATAATCAAAATTTCTCGCATAATTTTCTAAATTTCTCTTTACTCAAAATTTCAATATTTTTTGATTAATTCTTTTTTTTTACCTTAATTATTTCAGGTGCCATATAATCGGGTGTTCCACAAAAACTATCAGCTGTTTTATCTAAATATATTTGCAATTTGCACATTCCAAAATCAGCAATACGTACATGTCCTTCAAAATCGAGTAGAACATTATCCAGTTTCAAATCTCTAAAATAATTAAAATTACAAATAAATTTTAATTAAAGATTTGTTTTTTTTTTTTAATTAATATTATAATTAATTATTTTTAAAATCAAAATTTATGTAGATTTAAATTATATTTTTACAATTAATTTAAATAAAATGCCTCTATCCCACACCATCCCCAATATTTAAATTATTTAATTAATTAAACAATTAAATTTTTAAATGGTAAATAAATTTTTATTTTTGACATTTACATTGAATAAAACATAACTATTAGAACGACATCTATGTATACAGATCAGTAGCATAAAAGCACTTGAAAAAATAGCAAAAATTTTTTGATATTTTTTTTTTGTGTATTTTATGAAAATTTCAATTTATGTAGGTGTTTCATATTGTCTATATTTTGTTTATCTTAAACAACGCAGTAAAACAGCAACACGAGTAATGGATTTTTGCCAAAAAAAAAATTAATAAAATATAAATTTCAATAGATTTTGCTATATAATAAGATTTTAAATGGAAATTTTATATTTTAAGTATCAAAAATTAATTGAATAATAAAAATATTAAAAATTAAAATAAATTAATATTCAAAATTCTATATTATTAATAGTTGTTAATAAAAAATGCGAGCATATATTTGACAAAAAATATTTAAAATGCTTAATTACTTTTCATAAACAGCAAAATTTCAAAATTAAAATATTGCATTCACTTAATATTGGTAACTATATTTTAGAAGAGATTTAACTGCAAGAAATGAAAAAGGAAAGTAGAGCAATGCTATATCTGCTACAGAGCATCTCTACATCTGCTACAAAGTATAGAAGTTTACACAATTGCAAGTTTTTGTTAACATTACAAGTTTAAATAACAGAAAACAATATTTATTTTTATTAAATTTTGAATTTTTAGGTTGCGACTACTAATAGTCCTTTGTTAAGCCATTACAGCACCCACTTATGTTTAATAAGATAAGATATTCTAGGAATCTGCTGGACGCCAATCAAAAGGTATAATTTTAAAATAAAAAATGTGGTACATAACATTTTGCCAAAATTTGAAGTTTCTGAATAAGTCATAACGACATAATTTGTCATATAATGATAATGTGTCAAACCTAATCAAACTATGTTCGAAAACGCAAACGGTGTTTTTTTGATTTATATTTCAGTCTAACTTCAAAAGATTTCTAAAATAATCAAAATTAAATGCAAATATATTATACTTAAATGAATTATGTAGATAATGTATGAAATTCGTTATCGAACAATTAACGGGGGGCTTAAGAAACGATTTAGTCATTCATACATTATTAACATATCCGGCATAGTATTCAAAAAAAAAAAAATAATCAACTCACCTATAAACAATTCCTTTTTTATGTAAAAATTTCAAACCCGAAACAATTTCAGCTGCATAAAATCTAGCTCTTGGTTCTGAAAATCTACCATTCTGTTGTATGTGAAACATTAAATCACCACCATTTAAATATTCCATTACAAAGAATAAATGACTCTAAAATTATAAAGAGAAATAATTATTTATTAATAATTAATATTTTTTTCTATTTATAAAAGAAAATGCAATTTGTTACTAGAAAAATATTAATAAAAATCACAGGGAAAAGACAATTTAAAGAAATTTTAGCTCTTATTTTTATCCCAACAGTTCGATATTTTGCCAAAATTACAGCTGAATTTTAAACTATGAAAATTATTGTTCAATTTGAATTTGAAAAATTATTTGAAGTATAAAAAAATTTTTTTTTCTCTGTGTTTTTTATTTTATTAAAATGTAAAATATTGCAAATTTTCTTATTATATTTTGCTGTTTGTATTACTGAATGAACATTTTTGAATTAATTAAGTTACATTAACAAGGTTGATTTATTTCTGTCATATTTTTGAATGCCGTTATTCACCTTTAGCCAATTTTTTGTTTTTTGCATTTCAATAAATGAATAATGTGTGTTTTTTTGTATGTATATGTAGGCAAAGGTTTAGACCTTAAACTAAATTTTTATTGAGGGTATCAATGCAGAAATCTAGTAGAAATCTTATGCGTTATTATTAAATACGCAAAAAATAATATTTATAGCCAAATTCAATTCAATTGAATTTACAAAAAAAATAATAAATGAAAAATAAATGAAAAATAACAAAACAACAATCACTAAGAAACATAATATACAGTTCACCTCTTCAACTTTGGGATACCTGTAAAAATATGTGGATATAGGACATGATATCTTGAGTATTTGATCATAGGCATTTGAATTTTTACCTTAAATCTTGCTTCATTATTTCATTGAAGAATTATTATTAGAATTAATATTCATAAAAACTAAAAAGTTCATTAAAAATAATTGATAAAAATTTAAAGACAGGAAGTGTAACTGATTTTAATATAAAAAGTTTGATCACAAAATTATAAAATACACCACACACACTAACTATCGCGAAACTTTCAGAAAATATTTTATGACAAATGTCTGACGGAGTTATGAATTGAGAAATTCTAAACTCACCACAGTATTCCTAACTTTTATTTTTATTTAATAAAAAATTTTCTATACCTATAATTATTATGCGAAACTGTGGATGAAAAGTGTTTTACCTTTGAAATCAAAACGCACTTATATACTCAATTTTCGAAAAATACCAACAAAATTATATCAAAAATAGATAATAAAATTTTAAAAATAGAAAATGATGTAAAAAAAAAAACATTTAAAACCTTATTCAAATGCCAAAACACCTGTCTTAATTTGAAATATACAATGTAATGGCCGAAAATTGGGTCATTCTAAATCTAAATTTGAAAATTGTACGTATACATATAGATACAATTAAATTAATTAGGTTTCTGTTACAATAAACTATGAATTGGATTTTGTTTTCAATTAATTTTGTAAATAAATTAAAATTGACAAATAAATTAGAGATATTTTAATGCGTGAATATTTGACAGTATTTATTTTGCTAATGTGGTGAGTTTCCTATTGAAATAACTATGGTGTATAGTTAAAATCTACCTCAATTTAATTTTATTTTAAATTTGTAATTTAGAAATTCATATTATATTTTAATAAAAATCGATTTTAAGGAAGAAAAATTATTAAAAAAAATTACATACAAATGCAAAATTTTACGGTAAATCAATTTGAAGTTTACCAAATTTTGAATTAAATGTAAATACTATTTCAGAGACACATTCTTAAATATGTGACATATTCTTAATTAATGTGAGACACATTCTGATTTTTTTCAAAAATCTTTGAAGTTTTTCCTTATCATACAATATTTAGCAAAATATAGATATCTTCCGACATTATTTAATTGTAATCTAATTTCAAATGTCAAAATAAATTTGAATAAATCGCTTATAAATTAATACCCGGAAACAAAACAGTGAATGAAAATTCTATCTTGAAGTGATAATAATATTTTTCTTAGCCTTTATTCGAAAATATGCGTAGAATATCACATAAATGTCAATGACTCTGCTAAATGTCTATAAATTTTAGAATAAAAAATGAAGAGAGCAATTTTTGAAGTTTAATTGAGAAAAAGAGTAATCAAAAATTTCAAATACCTACTTGAATTTTTTTGAGAAAATTTTAGTTTGTAACTTTTAATCACTGAAAATATTTTCATACAAATATAAGAAATTTCCTGTAATATTTTGTAAAAATCAAAGTTCTGTAATATATGCAGTGAGACTCAGTGAGATTTTATTTTTAAACAGCCTGATATACTCAAATTGAGCAAATTCCCTATAACATTTAACAATTTTTAACTAAAATTCACAATAGGTTTAATTTTTATGATGCAACACTACAGATTGTTAATAGTAGTAATCAAAAATTGTTGTCAAAATATTAAAAATATTTTTAATTTATTTTGTTATTTTCATATTTATTTACAAAATCATAATTTCAAAAATAATATCTAAAATTAATTTATGACTTCATATTCAACGTATACGTGGTGAAGCTTCTAAAATCCCGGAAAAATTATCATTTAAAATTTTTATTGATATTGACATCTCCAACCAAGTGAATTTTATAAAATTATTTAATTTTTATTTTAAATGTAATGCATTATTAATTATTAATAATTTTTTATGAAATTTTAATAAATCTCTTTGCCAAAAAAAGAAAAAAATATAAAAATGAAATTTAAATTTAAAGAAATAATTTTTTTTCTTTTTCATTTTATTTTGAAAAATTTCATAAAAATCATCGTCCACCTGCTGCATAAATTATCTTTTGCGGTCTATTAACAGTTCAGCACTGTCAAATTTCTTATTCATTTAGGCGCATTAATATGTATAAAATGAATATTTTTCAATGTGTATGTAATTAAATTGTATTTCGTGTTAAAAATATATGAATAAATAAATGAGAAATTTTGATTTCTTTAGGAATACTGAGAAGTACTTTAGAAATGGTCTTGTACATTCAGGCAACGTCTACAGTTTTATCGAATTTCATTGAGCTTCACTTAAATTTAGATTTATATACAACAATTGGCAATACTATAAGCTGTTAATTAATAGATTATAAAAATTTTTCTATACTACTGGAGAATCTGAAAAAAAAATGCACCCTCAGTCTATTTTCTAGATATTTCGTCAGCTACCAATTTTTATTTGCCTGTTTCGATTGAATTTAAATTTGAATCTAAATTATCGCAAAATCAACTCTTATACATACAATGAATGTAAACACAATGCAAGTACATTTTACAATAGAACATCATACTAAAAAAAAACTCACCTCAGTTTGAAATGTACAAAATAAGTGACATAAATATGGATGTTTTGTACCCAATGCTAAAACTTTTCTTTCAATTAATGTACATTCAACATCGTCATCCTCAAGGACAACATCTTTTTTCAAACATTTCACAGCATAATAATAATCAGAATTTCGTAGCTCCGCTAAAAGAACCTGTATATAATTTACAAATATAAAATCAATATTAAATTTTGGATGCATAACAAAAAAAAAAAAGTGTTTACCTTTCCAAAGCTTCCTTTACCAAGTACTGCTAGAAAATGGAAGTCTTCAACTGCATATTTCTTAAATCTAGGAATATTTGTTGCTGGAGCTGTAATTCGTCCAGTTTTTTGGAATTGTGCATATGTGTACGAAGTTTCTGTTTATGTGTTGAGATAAAAATAAATTTAATAAATTAATTTTTTTTATAAAAATATTTTTTCAAATTTTTTCTTTTAAATTGCCTTTGTTTTTTTATTTTTTATTACACTCTTGGTACTTTTTAATTAAGATTTTTAAATAATTGTAAATTTTTTTATATGCATATGCAATTCTTAGCAAATTTCAGAATTTAAATCGTTTTCAATAATATTGATTACATCCCAAAAGTAGTGTTGCCGATATACGGCAACTACTAATAACTAAATTCTGAAATTTGACAGAAATTGTTTAAGTAATTCTAAATATATTAACTAATAATTTATGTATACTCTGTAGATAGTGCATAGTTTTATATTCATAGCTATTGTTATCAAAATAGTAGCTGTACAATCTAAAATTATAACAAAGATAATTCTAATGAACCTGAAAAATATTAAATTTCTCATAACGCATAATTAAAAATTTACAATTCTAAGCAATCAAATTTATATATTTGCTGTTAAATTATTTATAATATTATTTATCAAACTTAGTTTATGCATATATTCTATATTTTCTTAAATTAAATTTTATTGCCTATATAAATTTAAATATAAAATAGTAACTATGACAACCTAAGTCAACTCCACAGGCAATAAATTAATTATATTTTAATAAATTTTAATTAAATATTTAATAATACCATCGTCTATATCATAATTTGAATCAATTTTAAACGCTGGATTATGACTTGGTGGTGTACTTGGTGAATCTCTGGCATCATGCGGTCCTATTGGTACATATTTATATAAATATGTATATAATATCGAATAAAATATGATAAAATATGAATAATAAAATAAAATTATTACTTTTTCTTATTTTGTTTTATGTAAAAAGCCAAAATGTATATTTACATATATATATGTATGTATGTACGATTAATTTATTTCTAATTATAAATCTTTTTACGTACATACATACACATAACTATATTTTTTATTTGAAAATACACACATTTTATATAAAGTTTTTGAAAAATAAATAAAAAAAAAAAATTTATAAGATTTTTTACGGTAAATAAATTTTGTACCACCGTGTGAGATGTCAAATTGCCAAAAAAAAAATGTCAATTATATATATATAGAGCAAAACTAGAAAAAAAAAGAAGACATACAAAATATTGATATATAAAAATTGTCATCAATCACATACTGTTATAACAACACTTTGTTTATGTTCTTACTAATTTATATACATACATGCATGTATACATATGTTGGTATATCGAAGTATATTTAAAATAAATTAAGAAGAAATTTGGGAAAAAAAAGGTTATTAAAATGTCTTTTTTATTTAATATGGAGTAGCGCTACCTATATTGTTTTTCTTTTAAGTCAATTATATTTTGCACAAAGGCAACACTCTTTAGCTTCTTTTGCTACAAAAATTTTGTTTATTTTGTTTTTGTTTCACGTTTAACTTTATGATTTCAAAAAATAAACCTTTTGGTATTGCATACGTGCGAGACACTTAATTCCGAAGAAAACCAATTAGATCAATTGACAGTTGTAAGTGACTGCTAATGCAATTATATATTTATGTTTTGATTTATAATTACAGAAGTATTGACACTCGCAGATCTAACTAAATCTCGTAATATCGCACAAACTTTCGATTCTATGTAATAAAACGTGTGTTTCCACATTGTCTTTTGTGTTCATAACATATTATTTATGTACGAATGTCAATTTCAAATTATATTTGGGTACATTTAGTTAAGATACGTCACTATTTTTAGTTTTTATAATAAATTGCATCTTAATTTAATTAAGTATATTCACAATACTGTTATACAATATTGTATAAATTGGTGAATAAAATATTACAATGTGCAAATTAAATAATTGCTCTGAAGCTAAATCAAAAGAATTTATCAATTAATTGTTATTTTATTTTTATAATAATTTAATTGAAATACCAAAATATAATTTCTAATAAAAAATTTTATTTAAAGAATATTTTAATAAAAAAAAAATTTGAAAACGTTTTTTTTAACTTAATCTTTTAAAAATTATAACAAAATTTATGATTAAATGTCAAAAAAATTTTTTTCAAAATTTTTATTGTTTTGGTTTTTTTTTTGATAAGATCATTAAAATTTATATTTCACGCCAAATCAGAAACAAATTATCAAGGATGAAATGACAAAATAACAAAAAAATAAAATTTGAAATACAAATTAATTTATTTACATGTGTGTGTGTGTGTGTGTATCTGTTTTTTTACTCAACTCTACATCGGTCAGTATCACTGACATTGACATTGATTGATATGAAATTTTCTTTGAGTCAAAACAAATACAGTTTTAAATGTCATTTTGATTTTTCTTTGTCAAAAATTTTTCTGTATATGATAACTGTATTTTTCAATTAAATTTCTTTTTTATTGCCCAGATTAAGAACGCTAACCGTGTTTTATGAATAGGTTAAATCCGATTCGAATATTATTTGTTTGAAAAAATATTAAATTTTTACATATTTTTATTTTCATTGTTCTGTAATTTATTTTGTAATTCAAATAGGTGTTCTAATTTAATTTTTTTTTTAAATTATGTCTGTTTATTGAAAATTTATGTATGTCTCGAAATATTTATGTAGATATGTAGCGAAAAAACATCTTTTTACTCGTATTATATAAAACCATGAACTAATGTCATTATTTTTTAATAAAAATTGATTAGCAATAAGGCTATTTAATAATCATAATAGATAATGAGTATCTTAAAATGAAAAACTTTCATTTGACGAAGGAGTTCTTAGCATACCTTATCTAGTCCCATCTATTGAAGTGTTTCCAATTTTCACATTTAATGCAATCCCAACTAAACCAGCTTGAGTGATAATTAAATAATAATTACATAAATAATACGCACACTTCTCTATGCACAAATTCGAAATCTATGTTACATTAAATTTAAAAACTTTTGAATTGTACATTAGAGGTCGTTCTATGAAAATGAAATTGGAAATAATGGTATTAAAAGAATAAATGTAGTGTTCCGGAATCCATTTTAGTTTTTCCTTTTGTGTAGCCAAATTAGTATTCCGTTTACACGCTTGTTTCTCTCCACGTGTAAATATAGCACAAAAATAATGTAAAATGCGTCAATTCCCAAATTTGAAGTGTTACCAAAATTTTGTAAAAACACATTAGCAGGAAGGCTACCAGTAGTATTTTATAGTTTACTATAATATTATTTAACTTGTGCAAAAATCGACTAATAAATTTATTTTTAGAAAAAAAAAATTGGAAAACTTTTATTTTTATTTAAACATTGTGTTTTTTTTTTCTTATTTTAATTTTAAATTGAACTTGAACCCAGAAGATAATGAAATTAGAATATTCTAAAATAGAATTAGATATTAAAATTTCTTTATATTATAAAAATTCTTAAAAATTATTATAAAAGATTTTTGACAAAAAAAAAGACAATAAAATATTTAGTATTTTTATTTTTGAATACACATTTTTAACATACATAATATGTATGTATGTACGTACGTATACGCATATGCTTATAATTTATAAAATATGAACATGACATATGTACGTACGTACGTAACTATACACAAACTGTATTATAAATTTTTTGACATTTGTTTTTAAAAATTAAAACAAGAAATTAATTCTTGTCCTTGAAATTATGAAAAAAAAAATCAAAACAAAAAACAATAAAAATTAGTGTAGAATTAGATTTTATTATTTTGTCTATCTTTTTCTTTTTTCCGTTTTGTGATCTTGTTTTTCGTTTTTCCGCGCAAAATCAAATATTCGCAAATAAGTTGGGTTTCACTCTCGTGCTATCAAAAAAATATATAAATTTCAAAATTAGAAAATGCTTTTAACATTTGTCACATATTTAAAATTTAAGAATATAAAAGCAAAAAATAAGGGATAAACGTACCCAAAACATTCTGGAATTAAAAATATCTAAAACGTTGTTATTTTTTGCTTCAGTGTTGAATTGACAATTACCGCACTTGGTTGAAATTAACAATTGACAAGTTAGTTGTGTGTTAAGATACAATTTTCGGGAAAACTCCGAATTTTGAAGGCATTTAAACTTTTCTGCTTATGAATTCTTGAATATTTTATTGAAAATTTGTAAAGCTTGGCGATAGTTTGGAATAAAATGAAGAATGTTTTTTTGGAATTGCTGAAAGAAATTTTTTTAATTGAATTCTGCAGATTCGTTATAAATTTCATAATTTTTGACAATGTTCCATCACAAAATGCGTATTTTCTTTGTTTTTGACTTATATTTAACTTATACAAATGTATTTCTAGCAAGTTTACTTGTGTTTCCGTAAAATATTTATAATATTTAAATTTTACCGATAATTAAATTTCACTTATTGAGAAATTTTTTTTCACTTGTTCCAATTTCATTTCAAAATTAAAATAAATCATTAGCAAGAACCACCAATTATAGTCTTGTCAACAGTTTCAGCGACAATATCCATGCTGAAATTTATTACCAAAATAATAATATAATATCATGTTTTTTGAATTTCCGAGATATCAAATGAATTATTGAATTTAAAAATAAAACCTCTCCGATCATCTTTTTTTCTTATTTTTTATGTGATTCTGTATTTATTTAAAATAAACCAAAAAAACAATTATAACAAAAATTGTACTGTTTCACATTTGTCAAAACTCAGACAAATTTTCGATTCCACTTAATGTCATTATTCGATTTTCTTCTTTTCATTCAAATAAATCGATAATTACTTCAATTTATTTATTTAACTTAAATTTAATATAAATATTTTTCTTTATAAATGTGTGTATTTTCTTAAATTTTTTTTTATTTTATATGGCTGTGAATAATATTTCCAAGAAAAAACAAAAAAAAAATCATTTTACCTTTTCTTACTGATGACAGCGCTTCTACAATTAATTTTTGATTTACACCACAAAGATTTGCAGCGAGTTTTTCACATTTTTTATGAC